GAGCATGCATTATCACCGCCTGGTCATGTTTCCGGAATGACTGCTTGGAGCATCTTTTTCCCTTTTCCCGCCGAAGCAGTACCTATTGATCTACTCATGTTTGCATGAACTGCTAGATTGGCAGAAGCTTGGGCTAACAGTGGGAGCTCACCCTGTCCTGCAGATTCATCAATTCAGCAACAGAAGGGTTCAACCATTGCACCACCGCAGGCCCAATAAAAATTTACTTGTGCTGTTCTGTAGATCCTAGCCCAGGGCTTCTTAAACCCTTCCAGTCAAGATTTATTTATATGACCCTGAGTATATAGAAATATATAATAGATATCAAAATCGGGCATTTATTGATAACAAATCAGCATTTTCAAGGCTTGCTGAAGCATTTTCTGTAGACTTCACTGCAAACTGTTTCCAACAGATTTGTGCAAATATCTAAACAGCCACTAGGTGGCATTCAGAAAACTTTGACTTTTGCTATATTTTTTCAGGGTTGCTATACTTTTTCAGGGACCCCATTTGGAGTCAGGACCCACAGTTTAAGAAGCAGTGTCCTTGCCCATGGATGTCCTTGCTGGGTGGTGGGTTCACACTACAGCAATCTTTGAAAAAAAAACCCACATTTTTTAAGATGAGAACTAAGCTATGCTGCCTTGAGGGATACTGGGAGCTGTAGTGCACAAAGGTAACTTTGTAAAACTTTGTTGTAAAAATGCATTTTTATTTGGACTTCCACTTCCAGTTTTTGTAATCCCAAAGACTAATATTCTCAAACGGTGCATAGCACAATGCATTCTCCACCAGTTATCTAAATGCCTGAACTGTCCTTGAGAATTTCAGAGATGTATCATCGAAGACTATATACTTTCACTATATGCTTTTTCTTTCTTGCTTTCTTGCTCTGGCTTCTCTTGTGCCTCCTTCCTCTTCTCCTCCACTTTGGATGCTCTCGCCTGCTGGACCGCCCTTCCTTCTCCTCTCCTCACTCTTCCTCTCTTCCATTCGGCTTCCTCTTCCTCCTCGCTTCCTGCCCTCCGTCTGGCTGCTTTTTCTCCAGGCCACTCATGGCAGAGGGATCTGGCAATTCCCTTGCACAGGTGCAAAAGCTCTGACGTGGCGCTGCCCCGTGGGCACATTCCCATACTGCCGTGTCTCCTCGACCCAGCAGAAGTAATGCGTTGTGGCAGGTAGAGGAACTCAACAGACCAAGAAGATCTGCTTGTGCGGGGATGGCGAGGCAAGCAGGCCTCCCAACACCTGTCTCTCAGAACAGGGCCCCCAAGGCTGGCTCCCAAAGGGGCAGGTCGCCAAGGAGGAGCCCCTGCAGGCAGCAGCAAGAAAGCAAGCAAGCTCCCCTAGTTCCCTGTCACCCAATGTGCTCTCAGACGGGCAACATAACAACAAGCACGCGCACCCACCGATGTTTTCCCAGGGAAACACACCACAGACTTCATACCACTGAACATAGGCTTCATCACATTTACTAAATTCCACTGAGTGCTATACTTAAAATCCAGGAACCCACTCTTATCATCACATTAATTTGACTTCAAGTGTAGGATAGAGCACTCTTTGCATATTTTAAGCTTGAGGGCCAGCATTCTTTTAAAACGTTTCATGAGGTGGTGGGGAAGTGGATTTTTTGAAATCATGATCTGGATGTTTAGGCCATTTCTGTAATGTGATGGCATTAGTTGCTCCCAGGTTTACCATAAAATGTTTCCCCAATTTGTGGGAGGGGAAATTGTGGAAGGAGCCAAAAGTACCCTTGTTAGGGAAAGCATTACCTTTTGTTCACTGAGGTTTTACTGTGCCAGAACAATTTCTTTTAAAAAACAACCTTTCTGGGTCCCTTCTTTTTCTTCCCTTCCTTCCATGATATGTCTGTGCCTTGTGTTGGCATGGGAAAGCTGAGAGAGAAGGATTATTATTATTATTATTATTATTATTATTATTATTATTATGCCATGTTTCCACGCTGTTCAGTCCTGGGAGTTATAGTTTCCCAAGGTCCATACCCTTCTCTTGGTGCATTTACACTATGGAATGAATGCTCTTGGATCCCACTTTAAATATCATAGCTCCATACTATGCAGTCCTGGGAGTTATAGTTTCACTAGGTCCACACCCTTCTCTGGTTGCATCTGCACTGGATAATAAATGCAGTCTGGATTCATTTAAAATGCCATTATTATTCACCAGCATTGAAGCGATGCTCCTAGTTCATCAACTCTGCTGCACTGGCTATGTTGTCCAAATGCCCGATCACAGTCTCCCAAAGTAGTTACAATGCTCCCAATTCAAAAACGGAAACAGAATGTTGGTAGACAGGAAAAGAGATTTAAAGATGGGCTTGAATCCAACCTTAAAAACTTTGACATAGACACCAAGAACTGGGAAGTCCTGGCCCTTGAGCACTCTAGCTGGAGGTCAGCTGTGACCAGCAGTGCTGTAGTATTTGAAGAGGCACAAATGGAGGGTGGAAGGGAGAAACAGGCCAAGAGGAAAAAGGTGCATCAAGCCAACCTTGACCAGGACCACCTTCCACCTGGAAACCGATGTCCTCACTGTGCAAGAACATGCGAGTCAAGAATAGGGCTCTACAGTCACCTACAGACCCACTGCCAAGACACTACACTTGGAAGGCCATCATACTTGGACAACAAGGGATTGCCTCAGTAAGGCAATCCCTTGTTGATTGTCTTCTGAAGTGTAGGACTTAGTGGAATTTAGTAAATGCGATGAAATGGTCGAAATTTTTAAGTAAAGCCATCTTCAGCTTTGTTTGTTTGTTTATAGTCTTTTGGTGCTGTTGTTCATTATTAAATAAGCAACCACCCTCCTCCATAGTGTGCCATTCTATTTCCTTTGGTTCCCTTAAGACTCTGCCAAAGAAGTTCACCATGGATTTTCCCCCTTTGCAACATAGCAAAAAAGGGAAAGGAGGGAAGGGCAAGTGTCTGCTGAAATAGAACAGCCAGTCCCGGCAAATACTTCTGAGGACACCTCGGGTGTATAAACAGCAAAGAATTTTTATGCATCTGACTTGCAAACGGATGGCCAAAATGAGCAGGGCTGAGCTATTATTCCGGGCGATGTTTGATTCAAGCCATTGGGTTCTATGACCGGCAGAGAACAGAACTGTGGAAAATAAATACCAATGCTTTTGTGCATATCAAAATATCCTGCTGGCTTCGAAAGATACTGATAAATATACAGCGCAACTGTGGGGAAATAGCTTTGAGCTGAAATTATCCTCTTCTCCTTAGGCAAAACGTTCCTTCTTATTCAGAGGTGCCAATGAGGCTGCACATAGTAAACATGTCAACTTCAAGTGTGGCCCGGTCTCTTTTTAGGTTGGTAACGATGAAGAGAAATGTGTTCAGCTTGCATTGTAATGCTTACATATCAGATCTTTTACTTTTAAAACAATGCACACACTGAAAGCCTCAAAACATATCACTTCCCCAAATTCTGGCATGCATACACACATGAGGATTGCATGCCAAAAATGTGTCATTGTGAAAATAAATCTTTAAAATGCATTCGGCTAGGGAAAAGACTTGCAAACACACACACACACACACACACACACACATAATTGGGCAAAACTGTGTTCAAAATGCACAAATCAAAACATGAAAATAAATCACTAACAATATACACTAATAACACTGTTCTACAAATTTTCAGTTTTTCTCAGTTACGGAAACGAAATGTGCCGTTTCTTAATAAATTTAACATGCTGAATTCAAATATAATAATTAAATGTGTTAATTGGCTCTGTTTTTTATGCAACAGCTATTTCAATTTTCTCCACAATAGGTAATTCGTTAATATTATGATAATGCGCCTAACCTTACTGCATGTATATAAACTGTGAATATTTACTAAATTTTAGTCAAATTATATTGCCAATAGTTTATACATGAGAAATATTTATTTAATTAGTCTATTGTTTATGTTTGTGAACAAGAAACTATATTAGTAGGCCTAATGCAGTTGAAAAGTCTGAAAGTTTAAATGTCGCTTTAATCGTGACTTTAGTTTATCCTGTTTGCTTCTCTTGACTTTTCTTTTGTATTCAAGGAAAGGATTGTCTCTTACAATGCTCCAGCAGTAGTCTGACAGCATTGACGGAGTCCATTTGCCTTGATATCTTTTTTCCATAGTGCTTTATTTACACACGTGCGAGGCATAACTACAGTAAAAAGAACAATGTAAAACGATGTGTAACGAGACTGTCTCAGTCTTCAACTGACTGACCCTCACCGTTCAAAAGTCTGGCCTTATATAGGGCTTCTGGCTTTTGCACACGGCACTAATACTGCGTCATCAAACTTTCTAGAATATTCTAGAATCTTCCATAGTGTAAGTCGCAACATGCATTTTTTCAACCATACGTGATCACGTGATTGCTTATATCATAAAAACTAGAGCCAATATACATTTTTAAATGTCATTTTCGTTTTCAGCACCCCAAAATCATAAAAGAACAGCTATTTTCAGGCCCGCAACTTTCTAGAATCTTCCATAGTGTAAGTCGCAACATGCATTTTTTTCAACCATACATGATCACGTGATCATAAAAATTAGAGCCAATATACATTTTTAAATGTCATTTTCGTTTTCAGCACCCCAAAATCATAAAAGAACAACTATTTTCAGGCCCGCAACGTTTTCTCCGTTGAACAGTGTAATTGGTCCAAAGTTATATCCACGTTTTCATTATTTATATTTGCAATACATGCTTTTTCCAAGGAATTGAGAGCAAACATTCAGGGGGAAAAAACAAACCAGCTTCTAGGTTGGCTTTTTTCAGTCCTGCCTGAAGATGCCAGGGATTGTCTTCAACATGAGGGATGTGGTCTTTTCTATTGTGCTTCAAATATTCTCCAAGAGCTATAAAAATAACCCCCTGCTTAGTAATTGGAAATTCTTGCTTTGAGTTTTGACTAAATGTTTTCTCAGTAGGATACTTTCACTTGCCATGTTTTCCATTTTAGGTTCCTCTGCAGTTCCACCCAGACGACAAGTGATCAAGAGTGAATCCATATATTGTTTCCTGCTCAATCCCTTGAGCTCCAACCATGTCCAAGGATGAACTGGGCTGCAAGTTGGCACCAGTTTACAAGCACAAGGAGCGCAAACCCAAGAAACCGCACTACATTCCCAGGCCATGGGGGAAGCCCTACAACTACAAGTGTTTCCAGTGCCCATTCACCTGCATGGAGAAGTCCCACCTTTATAACCACATGAAGTACAGCTTATGTAAGAATTCCCTGTCTTTGCTCATTGAATCTGACTGGCCCTATAAGAAAGGCAACCTCCTTCACCCAGAGCTCCGTCTTTTGCATGCCACCGAGGCATCCCGAGCGCGAGGGAGGCAGGATGAAGCCGAGGCTTGCGATCCCACTGGTGTCACCAGTGCCACGCTCTCCTCGGATAGAGAAGGCGGAAGAGAGAAGCCCACAGGGGCAGAAGAGACGTCTTCAGAAAGAATGAGCGATGAAGCCAACCAATTCCAGGAAGAGGAAGAGGAGGAGGAAGTGGAGGAGATGTCCAGGCTATTGCAGGAAGTCAACTCTGTTGAGAAGAAGGAGAAGGCCAAAGAGACCAATGCAATTGGAGAACCCACTGAGCCCGACATGAACGCCTTGCTCTTCCAGTTTAAAAACAAACGGGAGAAGGCCTGCAAAGACCCTGCGCCAGACTTCATCATCACAGATGTTTTCTCCTTAAAGAAGCATGCGGCGAAGGGAAAGGAGCCAGCCTCACTGGAGATGGAAGCCAAACCAAAGCCTTGCAAAGTGCCCAAGAAATGTTCAGGGAGCAGCAGCGTCCTTATGGAACAATGGAAGCTTGTTGCCAACGGCCAAAGGAGAGGGGGCCCCAGTGAGGTCCCAGCATCATGCCCTGACGGCAACATCATCCCATGTTACCCCCCGCCAGCCTACGGGGAATTCCACGAACCCCAGAGCCTCAATCTCTCCTTGCTGGGGATCAACTATCCATTGAACCCCAACCTCTTCTCTTATCTCAGCCCTTCTGTGGCAAGCAGTGCCACGCCACACTCCCACTTGACGCAGCTTCCTTTCCTGGCCTCCACGGCCCAGCTCATGCACCCCCATTCTGCCCATTTCCAGCCCCTCCAGAACCCAGAAAGGTCAGCTTTCCTCCCACGCTTCTACTACCCGTTGCTGTTTGAACACTCCTTCACCTCGGCAGAAAGCAAGGTGGCCAACGTTAAGCCAGAGGCCCAGCAGCCACCTGCGACAGCCATGCCTGCCCCTTCCCAACCCAAACCTCCTGTGGAGCCACCCAAGGCAGGTCTTCTGAAAGTGCCGGTGCTGAAGACCAGCCTCCCCTGGATGAAAGGCTTTCGGGAAGAGCCCCCTCCTGAGCACGTCCACAAGGCCTTGTTGCTCCAGGATGAAGAAGACAAGTGGTTGCTCCATGACAAGGAGAGCCACTCTTTGATGGGTGTCAACAGCCTGTGCAGAAAGCCAACCATAGCAGATGCCTACCAGAACATCGTTGGCATTAAAGACGGAGCAGCTCTTCTCCCCAACAGCATCAGGAAAGCAGACCTCCCCCCTGTGTCCGCCTGCTTGGATGGAGGTGGGATTGCCATGAATAACTTGAAGAGGAAGTTTGCAGGGAATGGCCTCGATTTTGTTGGCTCAAATATGCTGGTGCCTGGAAAAGTGACTTACCAAGCCAGGTACAATGTGCCACGCAAGCCCTATCCCTGGTACATGTTTCTTGACATATTCTCAGTGGCAGAGTTGGGGAATTCTTAGCTCTCCAAATGCTTTGGTCTCCAATCTCCATCAACCCCAGGCAGTATAATCAATATTACAGGGTAGTGGGAATTGTAATCCAAAATATCTGGAGAGCTTAGGATTCTTCACACTGTCCTGTGACTTGGCAACTGCAAGAAGGTTTGAAAAGGTATTTCCCTGGATGTAGTTGTTCATTAGTCCCTTTTCACACTCCTAAGATGTAAGAGGAGATGAGGTCTAACCAATCATCCCAGTGTTCAATCTCTCCGTGTTTGCCTAAACAAAAGCCTATATATGTACATCTCTGTGTGTTCTGGTGAAGCCCTTTACATATGACAAGATAACTCTGAGAAGTGAGCCTGGCTTATGGCAGGGCACCTCCAAGTCTGGCAAATGGACAAGGAACAGAAGCCTATAGTCATTGAGAAGGTGTAAATAAAAGACAAGATAACATTCCACCTACAATGAAATGTTGATAATATTCCACCCTGCAGAATCCAACTATGGACCCTTCCAGACAGGTCCTTTATCCCAGGATCTGATCCCAGGTTTTCTCCATTAAACTGGGTTATATGAGTCCCCACTGACAGATAATCTGGGATCAACAGAAAACCTGGGATCAGAGCCTGGGATATAGGACCTGTCTGGAAGGACCCTAAGTTAGTCAGTTCAACAGCTGCTTCCTTCTGTTGGAGGACAGAGCTATGATTCTGGCATAGCCCAAGGGCCCAAACATAGCCTCTTCTCCTCTAATGAAGTGGTAGAAAAAGTCTCATCAAAGCAGGATGATAAATCAAGGTCAAACTTGGGTACCAAAATAATAGATTTTGATATAAGTGGAGGATCTACTCAGAGAAGGGAATGGCTCTTTCTTTAAGATATGGTATACACGTAACCATGCATCACTTCCAGATTTTTTTGATATCAATTTTTGACTAAAATTTCTGGACTTCAAAGACCTGCAAAGAAGGAAATGCAAGTACTGCCTGAAGGTGGGATCTCTTTTCTTGTATCTTGAACCCACTGGTCCATGTCCTAGGCCCCTTCCACACAGCCATATAACCCAGAATATCAAGGCAGATCATCCACAATATCTGCTTTGAACTGGGTTATCTGAATCCACTCTGCCATATAACCCAGTTCAATGTGGATTTTTTTCAGCTGTGTGGAAGGCACCCTAGTCTCTGGAGCAGAAGAATGCAACCTTCCCCCATTTTCTGCCAGACATCCTTTCCAACAGTTAAGCCACCTAGCCACTTTCAGGGTATCAGGATCAGCTGACAATGCATCCCAGGTACCAAATTAAAGATAAGAGTATGGAAATATTTTGTTTGTTTGTTTGTTTTGGACTACAACTTTCAGTATCCTACAGTCACTTCTATCACTTCTCCCTATGATTATGAGAATACTCATTTAACGAAGCAAGCTTTTCAAGAGCTGCATCTAATCAATGGAATGGGAAATTGTGCTTCTCTATGTATTTATTGCTGGACTACAATTCCCGATGGTAACTTCAGTCCAACAGCATCTGAAAGGCCACATATTCTCAATCAACACATTCCCATGCTATGCCAGACAGAAAATACTAACCAACTCAAATGCATGACGGTTTACTTTGTCATTGTTTCTTGTGGCTTCCTGCCCTGTGTGATACTAACCTTTTTCCTCTGTTTGCTTTCTCTATTCCTGGACTAATAGCGGTTTGAGAGCTGCTCCCACTCAACCCTCGAAGCCTCTGGACCATTGGCACAGGGAGCTCCATGCTTGCCCAACTGAAGACCAGGAGAAGACGCGTGGCACCGACATTGTATCCCCTGTAATTACATCTCAAGATCACCTCTTTTTTAAACCAAGCAAAGAACAAGTGATAGCAGCAAGCCCCAAAGACCCAGAAGCGACAACTGTACTCATTGGGGACTTGTCCAAAACATTAGAAGAGTATCAGGAGGTGGAGAAGAAGCTCTCAGACCTAGCCAAAGAGGACACTCCAGCCCAGAAGCAGCTAAGGGATCAGCTGGTCAAAATCCGGCAAGAACTTTTCCACATCCACCAGGCGCTGGAGAAAGCAGCCAAGCCCTGTGAAGGTCCTCTTGATCTCTCTGTGAAAAGACCCTCCCAAGATGTAGAGAAAGGCTACCAAGATGGAAAAGAGCCCAAGGCCAGTTCTAGGTATGGCAAGGATCCAGGCTCCATCAGTCACTGCTTGGCTGTGGATGAAGCCTTCCAAGAAGATGAGGAATCGGATTGTCTCCTGGAGAATGAGAGCAAGACCATCGACCTGCTGATCAAGATGAGCCGCTCGGAGCATCTTCGGGCCTCTTCAGCTGAAGCCAGCTTAGGCACAGTGATCAAAGCTGAGGTGCTGCCCCTCGGCGTCCCTCTTGAACTCCGGCATGCAATGGAGCCGTACTACAGCCGCACCACCAAATGCGAGGCCGATTCCAGTGTCCTGCTTTGCACCGATGGGAGGTCCAACACCAATGGCAACCCAGGCCCTCCGCTCTCGGTGGCTGAAGACGTCCCCCTCGGGTGTCGAGCCGTCCCACGCTCCTTGTCCTGTGGCCTGCCAAGCGAGTCCGACCGGATGTGCATCCACAGCCCATTGAACACAGACCCATGATGCTCTTGGCTGATGGGCCTCCAGAGCTCATTGACTTTTTCTCTCTCTGAAAACCTTTTCCACAATCTCCCTCTAAGCTCCCTTTTTTAAAGTACATCTTTCAGCTATAATAATAATAATAATAATAATAATAATAATAATAATAATAATAATAATATACTTTATTTATATTCTACTCTATCTCTCTGAGGGGACTCAAGGCAGATATGGCAAACATAAAGGCTTCCCATCTTTTTCATCTCTGGCATCTGGAGAATGTGCTCAACTCTGGCCATGGGGTGGTGCTGTTGATCCATCTTCCATGTTGAGGAGCTCCCGATCAAATCGCCGGCATGTCCTTATGGGCGCCTTTTATTACCTCTCCGCTGAAAGCGGTACCTATTTATCTACTCACATTGCTGTTTTCGAACTACTAAGTAAGCAGCAGCTAGGGCTGACACCAGGAGCTCACACTGACCTAGACCTAAACTGCCAACCTTTTGATCGGCAAGATTTTCTACAGCTGGTGGTTTAACCCGCTGTGCTAAGCCCAACTCCCTACATGACAAGACGGTCATTTAAGCTTTGTGCTGTGGAATCCAAATGATGGATGAAACACTCCTCTTTTAAATATTAGGAAAGGCATGGCATCTGGGGGTTCCCCGTCTGTGCATCCTTCTGGTCATGCAATATGTTGGAGGAGAGATAGATAGGCAGAAATGACAAAGCTTTGTGAGAAAGGGAGCTCACCTCCAAGTTCTTTTCTGTTTCCTTCTTTGTGGGTTAAACAAGTCATAAAGTTAAAGGTCAATGTATTGGGTTGTGGGATCTCAGATGCCTTTCAGCTTCTGTGAGCCAGACATGCACATAAATGAGATAAAACCATTGCAGGACTTTCAGTTTAGTTGTGGACTGGTTACAGCCCACAGTAGATGGATGTATGAACATGCTTTATAGGAAAGCATCCATGAGCCAGAGAAGTGATCCTCCTAAACTAGGCAGTGCCCAACAGTCACCAAAGTATTTCTGTAAGTGCTGTGTATTGGAGAACACAGTTTGAGTTCGAGACCCTTTTTGTCTTTTTTAAAGCAGTCTTTCTACTACAGTGGGCTATTGATGCGAACATATGGCTAGAAAACAAGAATAACCACTTTAGAGACTCAGGATAATGTAAAAACCAAAACTTAGGATTATTGCTTCAAAAAAGAAATCCAGCAAAGCTAGTATGAGACAAGGCAAAAGAACTCAAGCTTGATTACAAATTATTCTAAAGCTGGCTTGTAACAACCCTAGATCTGATAGTAGCCATGTACACATCAAAGGGGTGCTTGGAAAAAAGCCAAAAAGGAGTCGACTGACTCCATCCCACCCCACAGTTAGCTATTGCTCCCACAACCTCTTGATGCTGTTTTGTGAGTCCAGTTGAGTCTAGAAAACACCCTGCAAAAATCTAAAAAGGCACAGGATGACAATGTTGCTTAGTTTTTTGTTGCTGTCAGAGAACGGACTGTGTCCAAAGTCAGTGGCTGTCAACAAGTTCTGTTGGATCTTGCTCACTCAGAGAGCTAAAAGTAGTACAAAAGACGTGGCCTCATGCCAGTTTGGTGGGAGTGCTGCAGTCGTGTGTGCTGTCCAGTGGCAAGAGTCCTCGACTTCCAAATGTCCCAGACCATGACTGTCTTTGCTCTCAGTTTCCATAGCTGAGGAGAATGGGAGTTGTGGTCTAACACACCCAAAGTCTGGAATATAGGACCAATGAGGCTTTCTCCTCCATCGTGGGGCCAAACTCAGACTCCAGTAGGAGTCATTTAGTAGCTGCTCAACGTTACTGAATAGACAGTAGAAAGAGCAAAGTATTTCACTGATTGCATTAAAGACAGCCAAGTTGAGCTTAGAAAAATTGCATCCCATATTTTCCCACATCATTGTCCATTTCCCCACACTTCCTTTTACAGCAGTTTATTTTGATCTGATTGAGCACTTGTCTGATGCTTGAAGTATACATACATGCATATATATTCCCATTTATTCACAACTTTCTGCCACAACCATCCCGGCAATGCAAACGTCACTCAGACAAACACTCGAGCAACATCCCCCTGCACTTATGTGTCGACCGATGACAATCACTGGCAAGCGACCTTTATGGGCTAAAATTGTTTATGGATCATGTAGAACGGTGCTTTGGGGAGGGAGGTGGGGTTTAAAGAATATCCATGTGTTATTTATTGTCCACAATTTTAAGAATGTAAAAATATATTAAATTAAAACAACTAAAAGTGCCAGGGTGTGTTTGCTAGTGTTCTTGCAGCAAATGAAGATCCTGCAACATCTATGTTATTTGCTATTATTTTCAAACAGAGGCTAGACGGCCCTCTCCCTTGAGGGCTCTGATCGTGTCTGGAATTATGCTGCCTAGTTTCTTCAACTTGACAAATTTCAGGGGCTTTGTTATACATAATGCCAGTCTGACAGGCAGGAACCCAGTATAGTCTTCCTTATCAGAGTATTGGTCACCACCAACGTCACTGAGTCAAAGAGTGAGATGGAATATAACATAAACATGTGTGTTTGATCTTGCTTTTAGCACATGGTCAGTACAGGACAGATCCTTCGGTTGATTGTGAGCTATTTCGATATAACCTGCATGTGATCTTGGTTGGAGACAATCATCAGTGGAATCGGTCAGGTGCTGAACTTGGAGTGAATCCAGGCACTTGGCTTAAAAGTAATGGTTCTGGGAAAAGAACCAGTTGTTATTGGCAGCTTAGAACAAATGCTGAAATTGTGACTAGCCAGTGTGTGACAGGACAAAGCCATTGTGGGGTTCCTTTCCCTCTTCCAAATGCTGGAAATAATTGGTTCTATCATAAACACCTGGGAAAAGTTTATGAAAGTGCAAAGACTTTGTCTTTTCAGGAGGGACATCATCCTGCTATAGCACGTTTTGCTCTTTTATAGGATAATTTTTATTTTTATTTTCAAATGGGCAAGTTTAGTAGGGGTAGATTTTGCTCTAGTTTCTCAATGATCCTCCTCCTCCTCCCCTTCTCTCTCTCTCTTTTTCCTCATTTTGGAAGAAGAAAGGAAAGAGGGAAAGAAGGAGAGGAGGAGGAGGCAACACATGGCACATACAAAACAATGACACACAAGGAAGGAAAGAAGGAGATGAGACCGAGGTAACACATGGCATGAATAACACAGAGAGGGAGGGAGGGAAGCCCCCAGGAAGTGCATGAGAAGGAAAGGAACACAACATACTGCCCTCCTCCATGAGCAAAAGGTAATGGTTGTGCTTTTTCTCAAAGGGGCATTTTGGCTCCTCCCACAAATTGTGTTACTGTATCACTTTAAAACAGAGAACAACGAATACCATCACATAGCAGAATGGGCTATTTTGCCCATCTCTAGATAATTTGCAAAAAAGTCACTTGTCAACCAGCTTAGAAAGTATCTGAAAAGATAACCCTTCGCAACACTTTTTAAACCCCAAGATCTCTCTTCCCTACACTTGAAGCCTACGTCATGGGATGAACACAGTAGATTGCCGTTTCTTAACGGGGCGGCTCAGTCGCATTTAATGAAGGGGATGAAGTGCTAAGTATTTTTTTAATATGGGCCTGCTCTTCTGCTACAGCCGTGTTACTGTTGATAACGGATAGACTACACTATGTAACTGTTGAAACACAGTTTTTGTTCCTGGGTTCTAAATGTCATTTCCTAATTGGATCTATAATAAAAAGATGGTGAAAGTTGATTAAACTTCCAAAACATTGTTTTCACAAGAGTGACATCCTGCTATAGCACATTTTGCTCTAGTTTTTCAATGAACATCTCATCATTGAGCCTCAACCAATTCAACATAGTTTGTTGTACAAAAACGAAGTCTCTGGAATATAATAACTATTTTCAAAGTAAGGGCCACAGAATTAAACAGGAAATATCACTTTCAAACCAGGAACAGATTTTTTTTCAAATTTTGTTAGATAGCACAATGGATTGGATACATTATTGTCAACGCCTTATAATTCTGCATTGCAACGGAATGCAATCCCCCTCTGAAATCAACCTCTGGTTCCCAATGTGGGACACACAAAGGGAGCCAGTTGGGTTTTTGACGCAGTTGGAGAATGTTATGAATTGTGATTTTTTTGGCTTTTCTTTTTGTTCTAGCAGCCTCATATACAGTGTGTGTGTGTGTGTGTGTGTATATACACATACACACACAGAGAGAGAGAGAGAAATCCACATTTTTAAAATGTGTAGCACGGTCAGCGGGTGCCAATGGAGAGGAGAAAGGTGGCTCATAGAGATGAAGAAGCTGAGAGAGCAGAGAGTGAACTAGAGAATAAAGGAGCCACTTTCACTCCTCTCAGTGTTCTTTTCACATAACATGCTGTACAAAATATATACAAATATCTTTTTGTTCTGCATGTGAATGCAGCAAAGAATCTGGGGGGGGGGGGGTCCAAAGCACAATGATTACTTTCATAGTTAAATCCATATTTTTGTATCAATTAAAATAAAAAAGATTTTCAGCTGCAAGAAAATTAACATCAGGTGACAGGAGCTTCTCACACTTTGCAATGAAGTTGGCGACTGAAGTCGATGCAGATGACTCCAATCAATGTGCTCTTTCATTTTTCTCACTCATGGACGCCATGTTCTTTGGATGCTTGTTTAGACCAACTTGATTATTATTATTATTATTATTATTATTATTATTATTATTATTATCTTTATTTGTACCCCACTAGCATCTTCCGAAGGACTCAATGCGGCTTACAAAGGCCAAGGCCTCAAAACACAACATAACAATACACAACCTAAAGCAAATTAAAATAGTTAAAGCAAAATTAAACAACGAGCAATAAACAATACACCAAGACACAATAAAACTGGGCCGGCCAGAGTAATGGGTACAGATTAAAAGTGCTGATGTGACAGGTGATATGTAAGGATTATAGGGTAAGTGCAGTGTGCCAGCAATCTTAATTCTAATAAAGTGCTTCTGGGACTTGTTATTGGAGTTTTCCTATTCTGGAAAGGCACTTCAGAACAGCCAGGTCTTCAAGTTCTTTCTAAAGACTGCCAGCGTAGGGGCCTGTCTAAGATCTTTGGGGAGGGTGTTCCAGAGTCGGGGGGCCACCACAAAAAAGGCCCTGTCTCGTGTCCCCACCAAACGCGCCTGCAACGCAGGCGGAATCATGAGCAGGGCCTCTCTCTTGATGGCCTTTTAGGGTTCTTCCATGTGAATAAATCGGAGTTTCCTTTTGAAATAATAAGAATTATATGTCATGGGGGGGGGGATCAGGATTTTAGGGATGCT